GTTTGCTTGGTGGCACAGAGGAATTTTAGAGTATCTCTCGTGGAATAATTGGGTATTTGAGGTATGGTATACACTCGGATGGCGGAATTGGGACCAGGTATGTTGATTCATGTGCCATATGGACTTGGAGACGGGAAGTTCTCATATTCAGGCTATGTTGTAGTTGTGAGTCGTGTGTATCGGCACTGTTTAGTGACTATCGGGGTTTGGAGACCCAGACGGATCTTTTGTGCTTGGTATGTTAGATTTTGGAAGTGATATCGGGTTCAAACTAGTTGTCTCCGTGTGGTGTCATTCTAGACTATCGCGCTAAGGCGGCACTGTTGGCTATGCCAGAAATGCCACGGGTTGAGTGGCGAGGTTCGACGGATTATGTCCTAGTAGAGTGGTATTATATCTCGAAGATCCAGTGGATGGATGGGAAGGAGTGTCTTTCTTATTTGGGCTCTCGTGATGGATGTCAGTGTAGAGGCTCCTCATATTGATTCAGTTTCGATAGCGAGGGACTTTTCGAATATGTTTTGTGTGGCCGGGCATGTCGCCAGGCAAGGTTGTTGATTTTGGTATTGATTTGATGTTGGGCACCATATAGTATGGCGCCGGCAGAGTTAAAGGAGGAGCTGAAGGATTTTCTTGATAAGGAGTTCGTTGGCAGGCCAAGGTGGATGCGTGTTCTAATTTGAGTCGGCTTGGTTGGCTCCGGATTGTATTGTTGACGGATGTGTTGATTCGATTGTTATTGAGCTTATTAGTAATCTGGGGAGGTCTATGAGTTACCCTCCTATGTTGCGAGGTGTTATGATTTGTTGGTTATAGGCACTTATGGTGCGGTTCTATTGGGGTTTCATAGTGGAAGTCGAGCGGGAAGAGTAATTGGGTGTTGCTCGGTGAATGGCGTATCGGTTATGTCCTTTCGGGTTTGTGTGTTAAATGTTAATTTCTCCTCCCTGGGTATGATGATTTGCTTTGGTTCCAGACATCAAATTGTACGTGGTTGTCGATTTCAAGCATAGTGACCTGAGGTGTTTCATGTGGAGCAGTGTTTGGATAAGATTGCGCATTGCAGCGGAGTTATGTGGAGGTATGACCTTGCAGGTTAGATTCGTGTGTTCTATTCCTATGATGTGAGACGTATTCTCAGCCTTGTGTTGTGGTAGTACTGGTGAGCTTGAGGTACAGCTCTTTCATTTGAGTTATTTTCATGGTTTGAGTAGGTTCAGATTGTTGCATAGTGGTGCGTGTATTGTGCAAGTTATGGCTTAGGCCTGTATTGATGTGTCATGTCACCAGAGTAATGTGTTGGATTAGAGGAGATCGTTGTGATCAATAATAAATATGAACGGATTCGATTTCAGCATGTTGGAAGGATAATATCGAGCCTCAGCTCAGAAATTTGCTATGGTATTCATCAAAGAGAAGTGGCTTCGTGAATGGTTGATCTGGGAAATGGTTATGGCTTACTGCGTGCTTTAGTGATCATTGGCAGTACATGAAAGTGTTGGGATGAGACTTTAGTTGATAAGAATTTTCTATCGGTATTCAGGCATTGTGTGCAACTGCTGTGATTAGAAGTTATCACTACAAGTGTTTGAGTTATGTGGTATATCATGTGATTGCACCTGAGATAGCATATGTGGCTTGCTATAGCTTGTTCGAACTTATTCATGGTATAAATGTGGGATTCTGATCGTGTTGATGATTTTAGAAGTGGAAATGTGGTTCTGTGGTTTATGGGCTAGATTGGGTTGTGAAATTTCAGTTGCGATGTGTTATCGGACCTATGTGGGATAGGGTGACGTGGGATCACCCCCGGGTATATGCTTGGTAAGGTTATTCAGCAATTGGTTGGCTTTTAGAATAACTCTGGGCACATTCGAGGACGAACGTATGTTTAAGTGGGTGTCTTCTGTAATGACCCGATCGGTCGTTTTGAGCTTTTGCACTTTGATAGCCAGTTTTCGGGCATGACTTGCCCCGTGTGATATATTATGACTTATGTTAATCGTTGGTTTTGGTTTTCAGGGTAATCGGAATGAATTTGGAAGAACAACTCTCAGTTTAAAGCTTAAAATTTGAAAGGTTTGACCAAGGTTTGACTTGTTTGTATATGATCTCGGATCGGAATTTTTATGATTTGGTTAGCTCCATTAGGTGATTTGGGACTTAGGAGCGTGATTGGAATGCATTTTGGAAGTCTATGGAAGGTTTAGACTTGAATTGGCGAAATTGAGATTTCGGCGTTTTCCGGTTGATAGGTGAGATTTTGGTAAAAAAGACGGAAAATTAAAGATAGATTGAATTCAAGAAAGGGTTTTCTTGAATTCAAAAAGTTTATTCTTGAAATTGAATCCTAACAACAACAATTAGTTATTAAAGAACTAATCGCCTTTGGTAGAGAATTAAAAACAAGAGATAGATTGTGAAACCCGACCCTTTAGAATAACAAGAACAACAATAAGCTTAAACTTATCACCTTTCTTGAATACCTAGAAGTGATCTAAGATTTCAAAAAGGGTTTAATCTTACCACCTTAAGTTGAGTCTTGAAGGTTGAAGAATAAATCCAAGAGTAGCCACACACAAGAGTGCAAGAAAAATCTCACAATTTTTATTGATAATAATCTGAATAATCTGAGTCTAAAAATAAAGAAGATACCCCTTATATAGGTAGGAGGGGGTCACGAAATTAGGGCTAAAAACAAGGAAATAAAGTCCTAAATTACTTTAGACAACAAGTCAACTACCTTAGAAAAAGAAAAATACTAGGAAGCAAATATCTTAGGAAAAGGAAATATAACCTTAACTAACTAGGAAAGCAATAAATATAGTCCTAAAATATATGGAAATAAGTCTCAAATCAATCTTGGATAGAATCTTGGAAATCTTGAAGGAAATTTGCAAGCAACTTGGCATCAACTTGCACTCAACATGTAGAACGCCTATTTTACCCTTCTTGGACATCAAGTAAGTCCTTTTTATGCTATTAAAAACGTGGCTTTATGTAGGACTTCATGGGCTACAAGTTTAAACACATTTTAGATGCCAAAATTGTCCAATAGTGACTTGATTTGGACTTTCTTCAGAGGATGTCTCTTGGGATATAATCCACCTCTTTTTGGACATGAACTTGGGCCATAAAATAATTATAACACCTAGATAACTCAGATACTTTATCCTTAAGCTCTTCCTCTCAACTAACAACTTCTTTGATCGCTCCTGAAGTCAAATGACCTTGTTTTGCAGTTTTTTAGCTTGAGATCTTGTTAAAGGCCCTCTTTGAGATTTCAAAGCTTCATCCTTGTCCTTGAATAGATTTGATCTTCCTAGGATGCTATCACACGGGCTTCACCAACCTTATAGTTTTCTATTCTATAAAAGAGAAAGAGTTTCAATGTGTGTGTTTCGTGGAAATATATTTCAAATCAAGGGTAATATCGTCTTTTCGCTTATGCATACTTACATAGCAACTGATTTGCCACGTTTTTTAGGCTTATTATCTCGATGCTCCTTCTGGCTCTCTATCCTCTCTCTCTTTGTCTCCCCCTTACCTTCGCTCTCTCTCGCCTACTTGTGTGTATCAACTAAAGTCTAGACTACGCAACCTCTAAGAGTAGGGGTGTTCATGGTTCGGTTTGGATCGGTTTTTCCCTAAAAAGAAACCAAACCAAGCAAGTCGGTTTTTCAAATAATAGAACGAAACCAAACCAATTAAGTCGGTTTTTCTCGATTTGGTTTATGTCGGTTTTTCGATTTTTTCGGTTATTTGTTGGTTTTTTCTTAAATATAAGACATACACTACCAAATACATATTCCAGCGACCACATTTTCAATGTAACACTATCAAATCAATTGCCCTTTGAGAAATCTATTATTTACCAAAATATATTGATGATAATTGAATCAAATAGTGATGAATAATTTAAGGACTCAATTAAAAATATGTTATTTTTAACACGAAATGGATTCTTACACTAAACAAAAGAAAACTACCAATCAAACTAGAATGTAAAGGTAAAGAACTATATTAAAAGCGCAAACTATTAACATTTACCATAAATTTTTTAAAACTTTGTATAACGATATACATATATATAGGTGTAATAATAAAATTAAAATAGCTATTCCTATAGTCGGTTTGGTTCGGTTTTTTCTGATTNTTTAAAATTCAAAATCAAAACCAAACCAAACCAAAAAGTATCGGTTTTTTTGGTCAGTTTGGTTTGGTTGGTTTTTCGGGGTTTTATGAACACCCCTATCTAAGCCCTATCTAAGAGGATGAAAAATAGGCAAAATAATTTTCATCATCTTACTTTTGTGCTCTTCTGTTGCGCTTGGATTGGCTCTATTTCCTTCTCCATTGCTCATTACCATTGGTTTGTCTGTTCAATGGGCAGTGTGCTGGGTTGGAAACTATGATGGGGACTAGGGCTCTTTGTTTCTATCTTGTGGTGTGTTGCTAATTGCTTTTTGATATTATCTTCATATAGTTGTTGTTTGTTCCAGAGCCAACGACCACAACCGACCTACAATCTCTTTCTTTTCATGACCTAATTCTGATGCCTTAGGTAAAAACCTCTGATGTGGAGGTGTTTAGTAAAAAATCTTCAATGAACTGGTTTTCTTATTTGATTTCTTATGCATCCCTGGTCTTTTCCATCCTTCGGAGGTAAGGGAGAAAATAGAAAATTGCCGACAAATGTTTGACATTGTTAGCACCTGAAGTTTTTTACACCTCTATCCTATTTTCTATTTTCACCACATAGCAAAAGAGTTATAGTTACAGAGCGAGATTTGAGGATTTTGGTTGTAACTATTTGGATTTCATGTCTTCCTTTTCTTCTTCACGAATGAAAGAAACTGAATTTTCACAATTAATTTAAAGTGGGGCTGAAAGTTTAAATCCAGTATAAAGAATTTTAGATAAGTCAAATATATTCTTGGTTCTCTGTCCTCGAAGAAGAAGCTCCTTGCAGTTTAACTATAAATTGTGTCTGATTTGCTGAATTTCATGAATTTCTGAAACCATCACTAGGTGAAAAAGTAGTCTATTGTTTGATTAGAGATATCATCTGATGTCTCTGCTGAAGCTAAGTATCTCATTGCCATATAAGCTTATTAGAAGATATATTTGCATAAATTTTGTGAAGAATGATGCATGATGTAGCTATATTTGTTTGTCCAGGATCTTGTGAAGGATATTTAAGCGACTTTCCATTCAGGAGATCTTGGGCGACCCTTGAATGATTAAGACAGCTAATCCGAATGGAGCCTGCTGAAATTAAGTGATATTTTCGCATACTGCTGTCATCCATACAATTTTTTATGATATTTGTTTCAGGATTTGTTTTATCTTTCAAAATGGTATTCCATTTTGAGAGTTAATTTTCAGTCATAGTTTGTCAAATTAAATATATAATTTCAGAACATGATATAAAAAAGTAGTGTTTCTTGGTAAGAGGAGTTTCATGCATGACACTATCCTATTACAGTATATGTGTTAAGGAGAATGAATTGATTTAGGTGGTGAAAATCATGCAATAGTTTATTTTAAAGTTGGACAACATAGACCTTTTAGCTGCACATGTAAGGAGTCAAGATATTTTTTTCCTGCATAAGTTTCCTGATTAAATTTTGGCTTCCTTTTTGGTCTCATAAAATTTGAAATGCCTGATGAGATATCTATTCTCCTTGATTTTTTATATACTGACAAATCACTTATATAACTATTTTATGTCACTGTTTAACCAAAAAGTGAAATTTTGGTCAAAGCTTTATTTTAGAAGAACTCGGGTTACTGATAATCAAAAAATGAATAAAGGAAATTGATTTTGCAAACAATAAGATGAACAGAAGAAAACAAAGAAAACCAGTATATTCCGATGATGTTTTGTGTCCTTACAAATGTTCAGTCTTCGCCTTTTTATAACCATTTCTAAGATATACGTTTTGTCTTTGTCATAATAAGGCCATTATGGACAATTAAAGGCTTTTAATGCTACATTACAATGGTAATCATTGTAATTCAATACAGATTTTCTAACGTTTTTAGTATTTAATGCTTATTAAATATTGTATTTGTACTCTTTTATGCTGTCAGATTCATTATCCTTAATTTTTGGATTTAAATAGGTACGAGCGTCGAGTCTTTTGAATATCTGCTTGTGCCTCTACTTGTGCCTCTGCTTGTATCTGTTGCAACTCTGCCTCTTTACTAATCATCATTCTTTGACCAGCCTTCATGTCATGACATGTCATCTTTCAATCACTTCAATATATATAAACTCAATTTTTCACAATACAGATAGTCCCCCCACTTGCCATTTATTCATCAATTGAATATTTGGGAAGTGGATTTTATTAAAGCGGGAATATTTGCTGCCATTAACGCTATTATAGAATCGACCCTTCAATTGTCACTTCCATTTAATCACGTGGCATCTTTTTATTGGTTCTGCGACTTTGAAACACTTTTTAAGGCTCTTTTACGGCTTCACTAATTATGAAGCGACAGTTCTCATTATGACCTTTCCATCATTGCACCTTTTCCTTTGACGGTTGCTTCTTAGTATAAATATAGTTTTCACCTTTGTCTTTCTCACATAAAGTTCTCTGAATATTCAATTCTTAAATTCTTGTTTGCTTCTTCTTCGTACTATCATGTCTTCATCAAACCCCAACCCTAGAAGAGTCCCCATAGTTGATAACTTTCCTCTTGCCCCTAGTAGGAGCAGAAGAGGAGGTAGACTACGTAATTTAGGGTCTTCATCCATACATGGTTCTTCTCTTCCTTCATCTAGTTCCGGTCCTTCTTCTAGAACCAGAGGTTCTCTTTCTCAAAGGTCTTCTTCTAGAGGTATGGAACCCTCTGAACCTCTTCGTGAACCCTCAGTAGAGGAAATAGTTCCTACGGAACTATCTTTCTACAATGATAGAGAGTCCCTTAGAAACCAAGTGTCCTTTTCGGATCGTGCTGATATCTACCCAACTCAGATCACTGAAGGTCTGATTTCTTTAATTCGTAAAGACTGCCATTGGAGTCATGACTTCCCTATCATAATTCCCAATGCGAATCGAAGAATCACCTTTTATTTAATTGGGTTTTCTTTTGTTTATACATACCCTTTCACATTAGGTTTCAAACCTGCTATTGACCTTGTTATCCTCGAATTCTGTCATTTTTTCGACGTCTGTTTAGGTCAAATTGGTCCCATAGTGTGGAGGGTTGTTGCCTGTTTGAGGCATTTGACTAACATGGTCGGTGTGCCTTTCACTTTTGCCCATTTAATTCACCTTTACTCTCCCAGACTCTTTCGCCAAGGTGTTTTTACTTTAGTAGCAAGGAGCAAAAGAGTTCTGGTCAGTCCAGAAGATGACAGAGACCGTGGCTGGTATGCCAGGTTTGTTGCAGCCCCCACTGTTGGTTGAGGGGGTAATGAAAATGTTCCCTTCCCTCAGAAGTGGAATTTTGCATCGGAGTTTTCTTTTTAATAACTTTCTCGTACCTTTTTTCTTCAATTTTGATGATCATTATCTTAATTTTCCCTTTCTTTTCTAGCAACCATGGGAATTGTTGACGAAATTCCCACTTTTCGTGGTTGGGTAGGAAAATTGTTGTATACAGCCACAATGGAGGGTAGATCTTGGAAAGCTCTCTCCCAACGGTTTGGTTGGAAAGTGAAAACTCATGGTAAGAGTTTTTTTTTATTACTTTTTCCAGATCTTATTTTAATCCTTCTTTTTATCAGGATTTGTCATTCGAGGTATTAGTGCTGAGGCGGTCGTAGCTTCTCAAATTTCTTTGGAAAGGGCCCAAGAGATAATTTTGGGCTCTTCATCAAAAAGAAAAGTTGTTGTTGACCAAGGCTCTGAGGAAGAGGAAGATGGGGGTTCCTTGGTAAAAAGCCACGAGCTCGTAGACAAATCATTTCTGATGATGAAGCATCTTTCCATCATTCTATTCCTCTTACCGAGTTTGTTGAAGCCCCGACGATGATTCCCATGATGATGTTCCCGCTGCTGCTCATGATTAAGTTGAGCAACTTTTTAGCCGTGGCTTTGGTAGTGAAAATTTTGGTTCAATTTCTGATGAAACACCCCTTGCTTCTTTTTCTACTCCCGTTCCTGTGATACCTCTTTTGCCGGTCGTGGCTATTATTGTTCCTCCCCAGGCTGTTTTGACTGCTTCTACAGTTCCTCCTTCTTCAACTGTTCATTACACTGAGGTTGGTTCCTCAGGTAGAGTTGAAGCTATGAGGCAAGTTACCATTGAAGTTCCTGCTGATGGCAACCTTTTGAGAAAATCAGATCGAGCTGACGTGTGATTGAAGCCATTGATTGGTCCAGTTTAAAAAACTAAACTTGATGGCCACAGTTCCTTGACTTTGATGAACGATATAATGCATGTTTCCTTAAAGGTATCTCTTTTTCAAACTTTACTTTCCCTTTTTTCTATTTTCAGGGTTCTTATCTTTCCCTTTTTTCAGGTCAATCTAATTGGCACAGAAATTATGAAGAGGGTTTTCCTTTTAGAGCAACTAGCGCATGACTACCAAGTGGAGGTGGATAATTGGAAGGAACAGTTTGAAAGTCTTCTAATCGACATGGAAATATTAGAAGAGAGTAGATGTACCTTAGAGCAGCAGGTAAATGCTTTGACTTCAGAGTTAGCGGTTGAAAAAGCTTCTTCAAATCAAGTAGGTAAGGAGAAGAATCATCTTGAAACCTCTTTTTCCGAGCAACTTTCCAAGGCAAGTGAAGAGATCAGAGAGTTGAAGGCTCTCTTAGGTGAAAAAGAAGCATATGCTAGTGAACTCGTGCAGACTCTGACTTAAACTCAAGAAGACCTCCGAGAGTCTTCAGAAAAAGTTCGTTCCTTAGAGAATTCAAATGCTTCTCTTCAAACTTCCTATGATTCTGCCTTGGCTGAGAATGAGAAGCTAAAAAGTGAAATTGCTGACTGGGAAAGAGATTATGAGATTCTTGAAGACAAAAATGCAATTGAAGTGAGTTGGGCGTTTTTAAATTCTCGCCATGATACCCTTGTTGAAGTTAGCCAGGAAAATTTTAACTTGGAATCTGAGTTAGCCAAACTCAAAGAAACTATTGAAAAGACTCCGTAGATCTAAGACTTTTCTTCTCCCGTGGCTGAAACTTCTGGCAACATTGAAGATGATATGGGTATGGTGAGTGCCCCAATTCTTTCGAGTCAAGTTGAACTCGCTCCTGCTGATGATCCTGCTTTGGTTCCTTCTTCAACTCCTCAGTGACAAGCTAATAATGTGTGACTCCTTTTTTTTTCTTTGGCAAAACATGATTGTAACCCTTGGTCTTTTTGAGGGTTTGAAAACATTAAGTCTCCGGACCTTTTTGNAGTCAAGTTGAACTCGCCCCTGCTGATGATCCTGCTTTGGTTCCTTCTTCAACTCCTCAGTGACAAGCTAATAATGTGTGACTCCTTTTTTTTTCTTTGGCAAAACATGATTGTAACCCTTGGTCTTTTTGAGGGTTTGAAAACATTAAGTCTCTGGACCTTTTTGGGGGCATTTTGTATAAACAACTCTTAGTTTATGACTAAGTTCATACTTAGTCTAAGCTTTTTAATTTTAAGAAGTTTTTGTAACTATTTTTGAACTTCTGTCTTGCCTTTATGTTTAAAAACTTATTCGATAATTTGCACTTTTATTTTGTAAAAGGCTTTTGTAATTCCATGAATGTTTTAAATCAATCATGAATTTTATAAAAGAGTGCCCTTTTATATTTCAACACTTAATGAAGAAGACGTCTCAACTTCATAATGGTGTTAATGTACGATAAAAGAAATAGGAATACACATGTTTTTTTGGAATAACTTCGACAATTTTTATTTGAACTTTGACAAGCTTTAAATAACATCTTACATGTATTTGAGTAACTTCTATAACTTTTTCGTAACTGTTTTTCCTTACAGCAGATTTTCAAAAGAAAATAAAACACAAGGTTTTTATGTAACAACCCGTTTCAGTACATGTATATTAAATACAAGGTTTTTATTTGTAACCTTGTTTCAGTTGGATAATACATAAGGTTTTCATTACATTGCCTTTTAACCTAACTATGATAAGGTTTTTCTTTGGCTTTGGCTCGTAACTTTGCTTTGTACTTGACTCTTTAAATGAGTAAACTTTTTAGGCTTGAACTTTGATTATTTCTCAATATTCTTTGCCTTCTTCATACATTTGTCTATGTATTTTATATAGTCCCCCAAGTGTTTGAACTTTGAAGTATGAAGTCTCGAGCACTTGACTATTCTTCTTATTTGGTCCTTTTCCTGTAAAGGAATAAAACACACGGGACTCGGAGGTACAATTTTAAATGAAAACTGCTTAACCCGTATAAATTTCTACCAGAATAGGTGTAACCCTAGATCGGGAATTTTAATCTATTCCACGTGCCTTGCAGG